CCTGGCTCTGGGAAGGGACGGGGGGTCTAGTGGTTGGAGCAGGGGGGGCTGGGGGCCAGGACTCCTGGGTTCTCTCCCTGGCTCTGGGAAGGGACGGGGGGGTCTAGTGGTTGGAGCAGGGGGGGTTGAGAGCCAGGACTCCTGGGTTCTCTCCCTGGCTCTGGGAAGGGACGGGGGGGTCTAGTGGTTGGAGCAGGGGGGGCTGGGAGCCAGGACTCCTGGATTCTCTCCCTGGCTCTGGGAAGGGAGTGGGGGCTAGTGGTTAGAGCCGAGGGGGTTGAGAGCCAGGACGCCTGGGTTCTCTCCCTGGCTCGGGAGGGGGTGGGTTAGCGTGGGTGTTGGGAACCCAGAGAGGTGCCTGGAGGTGGAGGGGTGTGTGTTGGGGAGGGGCTGACCCATGTGCCCCACAGATACAGGGTCATTCCCCCCCCTCCCCCCCGCACACACACTTGGCCTGAGCATCTGACGCCCCCGTGTGGCTGGACCCCTTCAGGACAGGGCGGCGTCCCGGCCCCTGCACCTGCCCATGGCTCCCGGGGGCGCTGCATGTCTGGCCACGCCCACCCCTCCCCCCCCCGCTGCAGATGGGGGCGGGGCTTGCCCAGAGAAGTCCGCCCTGAGTAATGGGGATCTATAAAGGGGACCCTGTTAATGTCCCTGGTGCGTCCCTAAGGGGGTCATTATCCCATTTCACAAACAGGGAAACTGAGGCACAGGGTGGCAACAAGACACACAGAGAACCCAGAAGTCCTGGCCCCCAGTCCCTCCTGCTCTAACCACCAGACCCCCACTCCCCTCCCAGAGCCAGGGAGAGAACCCAGGAGTCCAGGCTCCCAGGCCCCTCCCCACCAACCAACTACTTCAGCTGCCTGAGACGGAAGCAAACGAAAACTACATTCGCACCGTTTTGAAAACGGAAGAAAAATAAGTCCAAAAAGTGAAAGTGAAAACTAATAGTGAAAGTGCGCGGAGGCCTGGAATTTCAAGGGAAACTCCAACCCCGCAGGAGTGTAACGGGGATCCCCAGTCATCCCCCACCAGGCCTGGATTGGGACCCCTGTGTTGCCTAGAGCTAGAAAGGACCCAGGAGTCCTGGCTCCCAGCCCCCATCCTGCTCTAACCACTAGACCCCACTCCCCTCCCAGAGCCGGGGAGAGAACCCAGGAGTCCTGGCTCCCACATATACAATGTTTAGTTTGGTATTACGTTTAGTGGTGGTTGTGTTGTTGTGTATCTCTGGAGCGCAGCATTGTGTGGGTTGCGTTATGTGCCACACGCCGTGTCACCTTTTGTGCTGCTCCGCCAGAGGGTGTTGTATTGCACTGTGTGTTTGCATGGTGTGTTAAACATCCCTGGGTTGTGCTGTGTTTCCGGGGGCTCTGTGCTGTGTGCTGTGCCTACTGTTGTGTTGTGTTGTGTGATGGTGTTATATTGTCTGGTGGTGCTTTGTGTTGAGTTTTGCTAGGTTGTGGTGTTATGTGTGTGTGTGTGTGTTGAGCTTGTGCAGTATTGTCGAGTGGTGTGTATTCAGTGTGCTGGGCGGGCCCTGGAGCGGGTGGTGATTGTACTGAGTTGCCATGTTGTGGTTGCGTTGCCTGTGTTGTGTATTGCTTGGGATTGTGTTGCTTTGATTGGGTTGTATGTGCAATGGGTGTATGGTTGTGTGCAGGCTCTATTGTGGATGTGGTGTTGTGATTCTGTTGTGTGTGCACTGGGCAGGGTTGTGTGCGTGCTGTGTTGGATTGCGACTGTGTTGTATATTTGTTCCGTTGTGCTGTGTTTGTTGGATTATGACTGTGTTGTGCATTTGCACTGATGTGTTGTGCATGCATTGGATTGTGACTGTGTTGTGTGTTTGCACCATTATGTTGCGTGTGTTGGATTGTGACTGTGTTGTGTATTTGCTCGGTTGTGTGGCATTTGTTCTGCATGGTTTGCACTGTGCTGTGCGTGAGGTGTGTGGCATCTGGATGCTCTGTTGTGCTGTGTGTGTTGCTGTATGTGTTGGGTGGGGCAGGATAGGGCCTGCATTGTGAGGGGTTATATTGTGTGTGCATGTTGTGATGTGTCTGGAATTGTTGTCTTGCACTCTATTGTGCATGTACCGCATTGTGTACTGTTATGTGTGTTGTGTTGTGTACGTGCTGCATTGTGGACTGTTGTGTATGTGTTGGGGAGGGGGGTTCTGTGGCGCTCAGTTGTTCACGTGCTGTGCTGTGAACCGGTGTGTTGTGTGTTGTGTACGTGTTGCATTGCACTGCTGGGTACATGCTGTGTTGTGTTGTGCTGGGTTGGGTTGTGTACATGTTGCTGGGTATGCGCTGTATTGTCTCAAATTGCACTGTTTTGCATGTGTTGTGTTGCATTGCACTGCTTGGCACATGCTGGGTTGTGTATGTTGTATTGTGTTGTGTTGCACTGATGGGTATGTGCTGGGCTGAGTGTGTTGTGTATGTTGTGTTGTGTTGCACTGCTGGGCAAGTGTTGGGTTGTGTGTGTTGTGTATGTTGTGTTGCATTGTTACACTGCTGGGGATGTGCTGGATTGTGTGTGTTGTGTTGTGTTGCATTGCACTGCTGGGCAGTTGCTGGGCTGTGTGTATTGCGTATGTTGTGTTGCGTTGTTGCACTGCTAGGGATGTGATGGGTTGTGTGTGTTGTGTATGTTGTGTTGTGTTGCATTGCACTGCTAGGCACTTGCTGGGCTGTGTTGTGTATGTTGTGTTGTGTTGCGCTGCTGGGCATGTGTTAGGTTGTGTGTGTTGTGTATGTTGTGTTGTGTTGTTTCACTGCTGGGCACGTGCTGTGTTGTGTGTGTTGTGTTGTGTTGTGTTGCACTGCTGGGCACGTGCTGTGTGGTGTGTGTTGTGTTGTACGGCTGGGCACGTGCTAGGTTGTGTGTGTTGTGTTGTGTTGCACGGCTGGGCACGTGCTGGGTGGTGTGTGTTGTGTTGTACGGCTGGGCACGTGCTAGGTTGTGTGTGTTGTGTTGTGTTGCACGGCTGGGCACGTGCTGGGTGGTGTGTGTTGTGTTGCACGGCTGGGCACGTGCTGGGTTGTGTGTGTTGTGTTGCGTTGCACGGCTGGGCACGTGCTGGGTTGTGTGTGTTGTGTTGCGTTGCACGGCTGGGCACGTGCTG